CTCCAGGCCGTGTGATTTGCGCAGCGAACAATAGGCTTTCTCCACCGACTTGGGGTTAGTTTGGCATTGCTGTGCTTTTAAAAAAAATTGCTTCTGCTGTGCTGCAAGAATAATCAGCTGTGGAAAAAATCAGTTAGGCGTTTGGTAAACTATATTTGAAAAAGTGTTGTGAGTAATCAAAGTGTTTGGAAAACTTTTATACATAAGCACTTTGAGTATGTATAATGACCAAAAAAGCCACGAGATATAAAAATTAATTGAAAATGAGCCATTAAATGTTAATAATAAAAATAATAATAAATTGAAAATGAGAGAAATAATATTAAAAAAATTAAAATAGTCTAAAAACAAATAAAAGTCTCTACCAAAAAAAAAAAAAAAAAACTCTCAGCTCCCATCTTCTTCTCTAGACAACCCTTTCCCCATCACCACCACAAACTCTCACCCCCTCCCTCTTCTCCTTCCCTGTCAGGAACCAATCCCCCCGCTGCAAACAATCGCCAGACCCCTCTAACAACCTCACCGACCCGACCCCGATACCATATCACCACACCCAACCCCTTCACCTACGCCAGTCCCACAGAACAAACCTCACCAAACCACCACCTCTCTCTCTCTCTCTCTCTCTCTCTCTCTCTCTCTTGATCTCTCCACCCAAGCCTCCACCATCTCTCTACTGGATCCCCCAAGCTGCCCAAATCTTCCTAGCCTTACCCACTGCTCAAATCCACCAAGCCATATCCACTGCCCAAATACAAATCTTAGGGTTTTTTACTCTATTTTTATTCAATTTAATGAAATTTACGAATCAACACATGAAATTCAATTTAATTCAGACTGATTGCTGGTGAAATTGCAGCGGCTATTATGGCTTACAATAATTGGCCCAACTTGCAATGAGAAGAAGGAAGAAGATGAGTGTGTTGTGTGTGTGGGAGCCAAATTATATCAAAACCCTAGGTCAAATATTTCCTTCCATTTGGGGATTATTTGACCTAATTAGGAGTTACTCAATTTAATTGGGAGTTACCCAATTAAATTGGGAGTTACCTAATTAAATTGGGATTGATTTGATTCCTACAATAATTAGGGATTTGATTTTAAATCAAATCCCTAATTAATCCAATTTCGCCAAATCGGGGAGGAATAATTCCTTTCTATTTACGGAATTATTCCTCTGAAACCCTAGCCTCCGAGGCCCCTATAAATAGATGGCTACACACAAGGGTTGAGGTACGTCTAAATTCATACTAAAACTCTGCAAAAATTATCCCTCACAAACCTTAGCCGCCATAATTCTTTCTTCACCACACACGGCTCCGACCACCTGGTTATACACAAATCTCCATACCCATTTTGTTAGCTAGTGCTTTCCTACAAAACACTTGAACTAACTTTGGCATCGGAGGGCCTTTGGCCAACACCCCCCGGGTGTGGTCCTCTTATCCGATTTGTTTTGCAGGGAGAAATAGGCGGCGAAGAAGAAAGGGGGATCTTTCAATCGAATATTCTCGTGGGAAGAAATTGCTCCCACAGTGTGCAGTGGGGAGACGAAACCCATTTTGGAATGGGAAGTGCATGGGTTGTTGATAGGATTTTTAGTACCTATGCAAACAGGATAAAACTCCTACAAAACTTGCAAGAATGACAAGGTTGTTGCAGTATAAATGATTCTCGCAAGGTCGTTCTCCGCAGGGATTATTAAATAACTCGTAGCAAACCAAATTCTAATTAATTATTGTAAAAGAGAAAATAGAGATGTTTGATTTGAAGACCTTAAATTAAAATGAATTTAACTAATAAAAATAAGGCAATATGCAAAATTAAAGCTAAGAGCAAGAGAAATAGTTGTGTTTTTAGAAATCAAATTAAGAAAGCACTAGGGATCCGCCATCACCTTAACAATTTTATATAGTTCTCCCAATTACTTGGAACCTATACATGCATATTTCGAAGGTTAGGTATTCCTAATATATGCCTACTTGGACCCCCAACATAGAGCGTATATCACACATACAATCCGTCTGTGGTATTCAGATCAAATCTAAACATACATGACTCATTAAGTTATGTGAAACCTTTAGAAAAACCATGCAACCCTTAAGACGTGGTATTCATCCTAAGTGAACTTGCACATATTAATCACAAGAAGCCTTTGTCAATTTTAGGGACCGACCTCCGACCAAAACTGCATCAAAATACTTTTCTAAACATCCTAATGGTGATCAAGCATCAAGACACTTAGATAGTTTAACCCAGTGATGAATAATTCGAAAACATGCGTGCATATAATCATAAGCAAATTGGAGAGAAACTACATATTCTTGCTAAGGCTTGTGGCCTCACCCTAGCAAAAGAGAGTTAGTTACGCATGTTTATAATAAAAATCATCAAGTTCTTCATTAAAATAATAAAGATCGAAAACACCTTGAATGGAAAAAGTCTGAAAATCTCTATGCTTGGCCAATTCTTCTCTCCTCAAGAACGCACGGGAAAAAGAAGAGAATCAGCCCCCCACCAAAACTACGGCCAACCCTATTTAACCTAGTTAAATCCTCCTAAAACTTCCGTCTTCCAATCCAACCAGGAAACTAAATAACTAAAAATAAAATAGGAAACATAACCCTAAATTAAATAGTAAAATTCAGCAAAAATCTGAACAGCCACGTTTTGGACCCCTAAACTGCTCCAAAACCGGCCCAATATAGCTGGATTTAAGGTTTGAAATATTCTAAACACTTCTTCAGAAGGCCACGAATCCATCAGAGGTCATCTCGGGCTCCAAAAATGCCACAAAAGCCCAAAATGTCACTTTCCAGCACTGCACACTGCTCCTTTATTTTATCGCCAGAAAATAACCACTTGGTAGAAAAGTCTGAAATTTTGATACGATCAAGCCAAGTGACTCACGAACATCCTCCAACTAGAATTACTCCAAAATTCGTTCATTTGATTATGTTTTGCTTCAGAGAAAGTCGAAAGTCCTATATTGAGAATACAATTTAAAGTATCAAAATTCTTCCAAAATATGAACCAAAATGTACCAAGAATGGGGTTAAATATATAATATAAAATATACCCATCAGTTGTCATTTTGGAAAAGTAGTAAGGGCGTTATGGGAAAAATGAAAAAATCATTAAAAGGAACCAACTGTTTTTTTTCAAAGCAACTTTGAGAAGCTGGGTCCAACCTGCTTTGAAAAACTGATTTGGATGACTTGAGATTTTAAAATAAGCTGACTTGATTTCTTTCACCAAACACTTTCAGTTGCAAAAATTATTTTTACAGCTGCTTATTTTATAAGTGCTGCACTCCCAAATGCTACCTTGGTCTTTTACTCCAGCCACAAATGTGTGGCTTTCTCTAGAATAATCTTCATTCTTCACATTGTTTTTGCCGACATATGTACGCTTCTCCAATAGTTTAGGCTCATCTCAAAGCATTCTAGATTTCTCCACACATTTCTTTAGCACAAACATGTCTATCAATCATTTTCAAGCTTCTAGATTTTTCTATACAAATGTGCATTAATTTCAACAATAACACAACTCATGTATAAATAAGCTCTGTTGCCACTTTTAATACTCCATAAGTCATAGTTTTCTCCTGTGAAAATAGGAAGAGGGTCAGAGTTTTGGCTAGTGGTAGACATGATGGAGGACTAGTGAACCAACGCCCAAGGTTGATCGAAACAAGCTCTAATACCACTGTTAGTTTAAGAGAGAAGAGGTTTGGAAAATAGTTGGTAGTGTTTAGGATAATAACTTGACTTGGAAAGGAAAACTTTTGAAAGAGTAACAAAATAGTTTTATTTTATTGATTGAAATAAGAAGGGTACGAGGCTTTAGAGTTGGTTGAATACAAGAGTTGGCTGATGGGAGAGTTAGACAGCTGTAGTTTTTAGCTTTTCTTAGTTGAATACATAATTGGGCCACTAGCTATATATATAGAGTACATGGATATTTCTAATGACTGTAACTTGTCTACTTTCTCTCAATTTTTCTAGATTTTTCTATATTATTCAAAGAAAGGTCTAAAATATCGATGATATCGGAAATATCGGTAGTCCAAAAACATTGAAATTTCGATGGAAATATCGGGATATTATCTATATCGATAAAAATTGAATAAAACCCATGAAAATTGTAAGAAAAACTTGGAAATTTTTATTGAAACTTTGGAGAATGTTTATTTAGTCAATTATCTATTGTTTATCACAAAAAATTAGAAGGAAATGCATTGCATGATGGATTTAACTGATTTAAGTTGATTATACAGCGAGCTGGCAAACACTGTGAGTGTAGAAAATATGTAGTAATTAATGAAAAAAGATTAAACGCACCATAATCATTTATATATAATGATTTACTATAATATTTTACTCTTTATACATTGCATGGTAAGATACATGAGTGACTTAGTACCACATAGAGTTCCTATGAGGTTCAAATTTTTCACTATGTTCATCATCTCTATGTGTAGAGTAAGTGTATTGTGAAGAGTAGTCATCAAATGATAAATTCCCAAAATAGTTTTGCATGTAATTGTTAACATGCCACCCATATAAATATAAATATTTTAGCATATTATCACAAAAACGTAAGTGATAAGGTGGTTTTTTTCCTCACAAAAACGTATGTTCATCATCTCTTTGTGTTTTTTTCCTCTTTTTTTTTCCCCTTTTTATTATTATTTTTTTTATATTTCCTCTACATCGATATTTTCGATATTTTAGCGATATTACACCAATATTTTGACAAAATATTGCTGAAGTGTGAGCGAAATTATCGACATCGATATTTTCCGATATTATCGTCAATATTGGCGATATTTATACGATATGTATATGAATATGTTCCGAAATATCTGTGATTCGAAAAAACTGAAATATCCTCGATATTTCGTCGATATTATCGATATTTCAAACTATGATTCAAAATACAATGTGCATTACTTTTTAATAATTAAATAATTAATAACTCAACTCACGTATAAATAAGCTCTGTTGCCACTTTACTAGATCACAGAATCTTCTTCAACCTTTACCTCAACCTCCATTAGACTATTTAGAGGTCAATCCCAAAATCATACAAGAGAAAAAATGGATCCAACCATGACCAGCCCTTCAGGTATCACTGACTTTGTTATAAGCAAAGGCAATGGAGTTAAGGGTCTTTCAGAAATGGGTCTCAAAAGCCTCCCAAAGCAATTTATCCAGCCCCTTGAAGAGAGAATTAGCACAGCAAGTTTTGGGATAAAAAACTCCGAAGAGTCTGTTCCCATCATCGACATGTCAAACTGGGACGACCCGAAAGTTGCAGAAGCTATTTGCAGTGCAGCAGAGAAGTGGGGTTTTTTTCAACTTGTCAACCATGGGGTGCCCATTGAAGTGCTTGAGAATGTGAAGGAGGCAACTCATCGCTTCTTTGAGTTGCCAGCTGAGGAGAAGAGTAAGAATTTGAAAGCGCATTCGCGTTCGAACAATGTCCGGTTTGGAACGAGCTTTAGCCCTCAAGCAGAGAAGGCTTTGGAGTGGAAAGATTACCTTAGTCTCTTCTATGTTTCTGAGGATGAGGCCTCTGCACTTTGGCCTCCTGCCTGCAAGTAAGCTTCACTTACTATTAATGTCTGCTCTGTATTAGACCTGTCAAACGGGTTGTATTAACGGGTTTCGGGTCATGTTCGTGTTAACCCGTTAAGTTAACAGGTTAACACGACACGACCCGTTAAGTTAACGGGTGACAAATACTAGACCCAAACACGACCCGTTACAATTCCCGAATATCCAACACGACCCGTTAACCCGTTAAGAATAAACCAGAAAGGAAAATAAATAAAAAACCACTATCACAACACGACTTCTCTACCCAGCCAACCAACACGCCTTCTCTGTCTTTTTTCCCCCAAATCCCAACCCTAACTTTTCTTCCCTCTTTCCCTCTTCATTTCAGTCTTCTCACCCCAAAACAGTATATATCTTAAAACCCAACAACTGCATAAACTAAAGAAGAAAGAAAATTCAAAATTAACTGAGAGAACCAAAACCAACAACTCTAGAATCGATCACCCTCTGTGATCCGACCCAGATACCTCCTCCTTGATCCCTGGTGGCTGGGCTGGCGGATTCTATTGAGTGGAGAGAAGAAGAGCAGAAGAGAATCTTGACCAAAAAAGAGCAGAGGAGAAGAAGAGAAGAACGAGAGGAAGAAGAAAAGGAAAAGGGGAAAGAAGAAAAAGACAAAAAGGAAAGAAGAAAAGTGAAAAAAGGAAAGAAGAAAAAGACACGGAAAGAAGAAAACTAAAGAGGAAAAGGGGAAGAATAAAAGAAAAACAAATATTTTGTAAAATTACAAAATTAACCTCCTTAACGGGTGGCTTACGGGTTAACCCATTTTCAACCCGACACGACCCGTTAGCTTAACGGGTGGCTAACGGGTTCACCCGTTTTCAACCTGACCCATTAAGCTCAACCCAAATACTGATAATTTCGTGCAAATTCGTGTCGTGTTAACGAGTCGTGTGCAATATTGCCAGGTCTACTCCGTATATACATAATATTATAAAAACTATTTGTAGCACATTAATTTGTATTGACTAATAATTATATGCATGTATATATATATATATATATATATATATATATATATATATATATATATATATATATATATATATATATATATATATATATATATATATATATATATATATATATATATATATATATATATATATATATATATATATATATATATATATATATATATATATATATATATATATATATATATATATATATATATATATATATATATATATATATATATATATATATATATATATATATATATATATATATATATATATATATATATATATATATATATATATATATATATATATATATATATATATATATATATATATATATATATATATATATATATATATATATATATATATATATATATATATATATATATATATATATATATATATATATATATATATATATATATATATATATATATATATATATATATATATATATATATATATATATATATATATATATATATATACATGCATATAATTATTAGTCAATACAAATTAATGTGCTACAAATAGTTTTTATAATATTATGTATATACGGAGTAGACCTGGCAATATTGCACACGACTCGTTAACACGACACGAATTTGCACGAAATTATCAGTATTTGGGTTGAGCTTAATGGGTCAGGTTGAAAACGGGTGAACGGAAGTGCTTGCAAGTGGGGAGAAAGCACTGTATAAGAAAGTTCTGTATTCTAATTATGTCAAGCATTTCTTCAGCAAGGCTCATGATGGGAAGAGTACGATTGAGTTTGCCAAAATTTGAAGTTTTACTTTATATGTGCTATATGGGAATGCTATGTTGTGTGAATAAGCTTAGTGATCAAGGTCTTAGAAATAAAAATGTTTGTACCTCATAGGAGTGGCTTATGTGAAAATGAGATGTGATTATCGCATTATGTAAATGTATATTTACTTTCAGATGAATTCATTTTAGTATATTTGGGAGTCGTTTGATACTCCAACAAAGTCATTACATACTCACAAGAGGGAAATTGCACTTTGAGAAGTGCATGATAACTTTTTGGCGAATTATTGGAATATATAAACTATCGGCTGGATTAGTAATATTACGTGACGGTGTGATAATAAAAAATAAAAAAAGTTTGAAGAAGGGATGGCCATCTGTGTTTGTACCTGATAAATCTCAGCCAAGGAAGCTGACCGAAGGAGGCTGGCCGAAGGAACAACAACTCAGCCCCGGCATCTATCCACGGCCAAGTCATCGTTCGCTCCCTTTATTTAAAAGACAAGTGATCTTATAGGTCAACACCATCACGGCCTCGGTAATATTGGCCGAGGAAAAACTTCTCAGATACACGGCCAAAGTGGGAAAATCAAGTGGCATCATGCCCCCACGCTTCATTTAATGAAGTAGTGCCTCTGATCACAACAGAAAGCCCATGATCCACGTAGGAGCATTTAATGAGCCAAGAAAGAGGGGACGTGATTGAAGTCAGATATTGTGAGTAAAATCAGGGATTAGGTGCGAAAATCCCATGGTTTTGTAAGGCTAAGCCACCAACCAGCAGACCAGGTCATTAAATACTCCTCCAAGGCCTGAGATGCAGAGCCCACCACCAGGGCGGCAGCCGGGGTTTATGGGTGTCACACCACCATGCTTCACGTTCCCAAATGCCAACTCGACTGCCCATTAGCTTTAATCAACCTCACCATGCAGATTTTCAGCTTCATTGTCTCCTCAAGACCTTCTCTATAAATAGCAAGCTCCAACTACATTTAAATGGTTCAACACCAAAACACAAGCCTCCCACGGAGCAGATTATATTTCTGTCATTTACTTCTTGTCATTTACATTCCTGTAATGCCATTTCAATACATTTACTTTTTTTCTTAGGAGTAGTGGCAGTTTGTAGAAAAATTCATTCATCAATATATCATACAACCCTTGATTTTCAAGGCGCCGAAACACCATCCTTGTTACTCTTTCGTTCATCCCATATATCATACGATCGTTGCCACCCAGCGACACGCCGGAGCACCACCTAAAACCACCATAAGCACCACCATCAACGGCCTTGTAGCTCAGGTCGTGAACCTAACGGCCGAGATCAGTTCCTCTCTCGGCCACAATCGTTTGATTAAAAGTTAGACTCAAACAGGCGCATCACTCATCTATCCAACCAATCATATCACCCTCAAACGCACGGCAAACCGTGCTGGCACGCCCGCGCATCCAATCACACCAAACCCAAGAAGGACGACCTGTGTTGATGCAGACCCACTCGGCCAGGAGCACCAGGCCGTGAGATTCGCGAACACCAACAATCTGACATGATCAGTCTGCTGTTAGAGTACCTGCAAGAGTGGGGAGAAAGCAATCTAGTATTTTGATTATGTCAAGTGATAAGCCTATATTTTATATATATTTTATGCCTCCTTTACTTATTTATTTGTTAATTTCCTTGGATTAAATTGGTTATTTTAATTGGTTTTGTGAGATTTGTGAAGGAATTGTGAAATAGGAGAAAGTGTGCTAAAAAAGGCAAGAAGATGAAGATTGGAGACTAATTAAAAAGAAGCCAAGTCATTCCTTTTGTTGCAAGGAATGTTGTCAAATTTCCTAGTTCAAGATGGCTCAAGTCTTATCAAGTCAAACAAGGAGAAATAAAGAAGACCCTATTTTAGAAGGAATCCTACTTTTATAATAATTGTAATTATAACTTAGATAGGTAGGATTTCTAGGAATATTTTAAATAGGGAGTTTCAGTCATTGATCAAAGGATCCATTATCATCCATCATCCTCTATCCTCCATCATCTACCATCAAATTCCTATACATTCATACTCATAGCTGAAACACTCAAAGGAGAATACGAAGAGAGCTTGCGCAACCTTGGCGTTCTACTTGGAGAATTCGGTGCCTTCCATGTCTTCATCAACCATTGATAAGTCATTTATAAATCACATAAATTTACTCTTTTCATCTAGATATTGTTGGAACTCATTGTTGTCCCACATCGGCCAGAGGGCCAAAGAGAAAGTAGTTTAAATAGAAATACCCCTCTCTAACTAACACTGAGGCCTTTTGTGATAAAACCCCACACATGAGGATTGTGCATGTGGTAAAGTGGGGACAATATCGGTGTTGTTGGAGTGGGCCCTCGGCCCGTTAACCTGGAAAATTTGATAGATATTATATGCAAAAGTTGATTGTTCTATAGAGATCTTCACATATCCCAGCTTTTGTGTTTCCAAGAACTCTAAAATGGGGAAATTACTTTTTACTAGGAGATTTTGGTTGAGACCACTTGGAGATGAAAGCTAAGAGGTCAAGAGACGTTTTGTCAAAGTTTGAGAGCTATTGGACGAGCCAACTGTTCAGAACGAATTATTAATTTCAGGGCATGTGCCATACGGGCAGATTGGAGCTGTTGGGCTTGAGGACGATTTTAGTCAAGTTTATGGGATTTTTCTTGGAAACTATTTGTCATACAAATTGTAGCTGACGGCAATACCTTTCCAATGAGATCTTACACGTTCAATTTGGTGAAGATTAAGCCCACCAAAAGCCCAGAATCGGAATAGCTGCTGTAAGCTGCAAAGAATTAGGAAAGCTGACTTGTACTTTCTCTTTTTTATATTTCCTATTGGTTACAATTTGTTTGGCTGTTCATGCCTTGCAAGTTAAGTTATTTGAAGCTTACTAGGACTAGGAAAAGGTAGAGAGATCATATAAAAAGAAAAGCCTAGGTCAGAAACCAGGACTTTTTGACGACCCATTCATCAAGGGGAGAATACGGCTCTAGGAGTTTGCGTGCGACGTTGTATTTCAAGGTTTCTTCTGTCACTCTTATGATTTTATTTTCTGTGTTTTTAATTATGTTCATGTGTAACTAAACCTTAATCTAGGGCGGGGTTAAGCCCTAGCATGATGATATAGTACTGTATGTTTATTTATCCATTAATGTGATTTTGTGTTTGAATTTTTAATTGCCGAGTGTTATACTGGTTATGTGTTTTGATGCTTGATCACCATTATGGTATATGACTAAGTTATATGATGCAAACTTGAGTGAATGCCACAATGATTTTGAGTATGCTTCTTGCAATTAAAAGGTGTGATTCCTTAGGGTAAATGCCATGCCATAAGAATTACATGATTGATTTGGTTACTCGTGCTCATCGTACTCTTCATGTTTATATCTAGCCTAAATCACTACTACAAAAAAGGCAAAAGACGACGGGAATTCACCGTCGTGAATTTGGTTTTCAAACCGTCGTAACATCGATCGACGTCTTTTGAAAAGTAAAACCACGACGCGAAATCACCGTCGTTGTTATGACAAACAACGTCATTAACAAAAATACAACCGACGTCTATATACTGAAAAATGAACCAAAAAATTGTCCTCGAGAAGAATAGACGACCTATTTTATACAACCACCCATTGAATCCAAAAATAATAATTCATTGATTTACAAGTAAGTATTTAGTACATCTTTTCAATTGACTTCAGTCTTCGTGGGAATGACCTCGTATTTACCTTTGTTATACTAATAATAGCCTTGTTCTATTGCGAGTATATTTAGCGTTTTAACCTCTGTTTTGCAGGTGGCTAAAATTCTATCAACCATCATGATTCTCAATAAGTCCTTCATGAACTAATTTCTTTTACTAGGGCTACGATGTAGCCTAGCTATGAATACTCAAATTCTTTGATATTGTTAATTTTATTTATCTATACATGTTGAGTGCTTGTTACCGTTCTTAATGCTTTCAATTAATTGGCCACTAATTGCTTGATTGGAAGACTTAGGTTGAGACCGGAAGGAGATTCCTAGTAAAAAGCTTCTTGTAACAAGTACCATAAATTATATAGCCGACTCGGAAGATTAGGGTATGATTTGTGTAATCTTCAATGTTTTCCACAAATCTTAATGGGTTCTTAGAGCACTTCCAGTAGTTAGCCCCTTGCCATGGCAAGGAGGGGTGGGGGGCTAGGGCAGCTACTATTCACATGAATAGTGGCTGCCCTTGCAAAAAGCAATGTTGGTTTCCAGCAGTTGCCATGGCAAAGGGCAAACACTATTCATTTTTTTGGTTTTTTTCACAAATTTGTTTACCTAAATAATTAATTTGGACAATATTTTCGGATAAGATTTTTGGGTTCCTATGTGTCAATACTATTCATATCTCATAATCTGATAAAATTTTCGGTTTCAAATTTCAGATAAATTTCAAAATTCAAATTTCAGATAAATTTCAAAATTCAAAATTTATAGAATGCTTTCTTTATTCACTCAAATAAAACCAATACTACTAATGAAATAAAATACATGAATTACAACTAATTTTCAAAATAAAACATTAAAATACAATGAAAATAAAAGGCAAGCAAACTAACTTAATGGTTTTGATCATTTAACCAATCCGTGTTGCTAGGTCCATCGTCACGAAAAAGTCTTCGTCTCATAACATCCCTTTGTTCTAGCTTCCAAAATTGTTTTGTTTTAGAGGACATATGGCTTGTATCCATGGCCATGGATTCCCAATCCTTCTTCTCAATGTTTTGATTACGTACATACTCACTTTCTTTTGCATATTCCACTTGAAATGCCCTCTCATCTTCTTGGTTTTTCTTGTCTATTTCAAGTCTCATGGCGCTTTACCTTGCAATTTCCTCCAAAAATTTAGATGTATTACTAGAAGAATTACTCCCTCTATTTGCCTTCGCCACCTTTCTCCCAATAGGTCTTTGTCTGCCGCGCAAATCTCACGGCCTGGAGTTCCGGGCCGAGGGGACGTGCATTAACACGGGGTTTCCTGCTTTTCGGTGCGGTGCGGTGCGGTTGTGCGCGGGCGTGCCAGCACGGTTTACCG